GCTGATGCCGACGACGAAAACGACGACGACGCCGCCGACGACGCCGACGACGACGACGACGACGAATACCACAGCGATGACGACGACGACGACGACGACGACGGAGTCGACGCAGACGACGACGACGCCGACGCCACCGACGCCGATGCCGACGCCGACGCCGACGCCGAGGCCGACGCCGATGCCGACGCCGATGCTGATGCCGACGACGAAAACGACGACGAAAACGACGCGTCCGACGAAGCCGACGACGACGACAAAGACCACAGCGATGACGACGACGACGACGACGACGACGACGGAGACGACGCAGACGTCGCCGTCGCGGACGCCGACGCCGACGCCGATGCTGACGCCTCCGCCGCCGACGCCGATGCCGACGCCGACGACGACGACGCCGATACAAACGCCGACGCCGACGCCGAAGACGTTGCCGATGACAGCGACGCAGACCACGCCGCCGACGACGCTGACGATGAAGCCGACACCGCCGAGGACGCCCACGACGAAGACGGCACAGACGACAGCGCCGCGGACGGAAATGATGCAGAGGCCGACGACGAAGACGGCGAAGACCACACGACGAAGACGGCGGCGGCGACGGCGACGACGACGAGGACGAGGACGACGACGACTGCGGCTCTACGGCGGCTTTACGGCGGCGGGCGGCGGCCGGCTCCGCGGGGCGCGCGCAGGCGGCCGCGCGGGCGGCGGGGGCCCTGGCCGCGCCGGCGGCGGCCCGCGGGCGGGCGGCGCGGAGGGCGCCGACGGAGCCGGCGCCCCCCGCGGCGCGGGCCGGCCGCCGGCGGGCGGCCGCGGCGACGACCGTGGGCCGGCGGCTCGGACCGCGCTGCCCCGCCCGGGCGTTACGTCGGGCCTGTCCTCCTTCTCGTGCCTCCTCCTCCTCTCTGCCTCCTCCTTCCTCCTCCTGCCTCCTCCTGTCCTCCTCCTCTCCTCCTCTCCTCCTCCTCCTCCTCCTCCTCCTCCTCCTCCTCCTCCTGCCTCCTCCTGTCCTCCTTCTCCTGCCTCCTCCTTCTCCTCTCCTGCCTCCTCCTCCTGCCTCCTCCTCCTCCTTTCCTGCTCCCGCTCCCAGGGCCCCGTCGTGCCGGTCCGGAGCCCCAGCGCGTGGGGGGGCGGGCTCAGGGGAAAGCAGCATCGGCACCCGATGTCGTTGATCGGGGGTGGACAGACCTCCTACCCTGACACGTCGATGAGTCTTGGCTTAAGTCGGGCCTGTCCCCCTACAGGGGGATTTGCGACGAAAAATAAAAAATGCTTCAAAAATAGTCCAAGCATAGTCCAAGCATAGTCTGGGGATTATTATTGGATTCTTTTTTGACCTTTTTGGCGCATTTTTGGGGTATCTTTTATTTTTCGTCGAAAATCCCCCTGTAGGGGGACACGCCCGACATAACCCTGGCGCTCCGGTCGACTACACGTAAGAGTGACCCTTCGCCGGAGTGACCTTTGGTGCGGGCCCATCGGGGTTCCCCGATCGCCGGACGCGAGGCGGCAGTGGCGTCCTGCGCGTCTGTGTGTTGGCCCCCCCGGCCGCCGTGGGGCCCCGCCTTCTTTCGCCTTCTCTCTGCTAATTAAAGCTGTTTCGCTCTCGCCCCGCAGATCGAAAAAGTGTTGGCCCCCCCGCGGCCCCCAGGAAGCCGCGCACCAGAGGTCACACTCTCACCCAGTGCCACTCTTGCGTGCAGCCGACCCTGGCGCTCCGGAGAAGCGGGACGCAACGTAGCAGCTCCGAGGCAGGATCTCTCTGCGGCGCCCCCGCGGCCCCCAGAAAGCCGCGCACCAAAGGGCGCTCTTACCCAGGGTCGTCACTCTTGCGTGGAGCGGGCCCTGGCGCTCTGGAGAAGCGGGACGCAACGCCGCAGCTCCGGGGCAGGCTCCTTCCTGCGGCGCGCCCCGCACCGCACCCGCGGCCGAGAGGAGCCACCGCGGCAGCAGAGGGCTCGGCTTTGTAAGCCGGGCCTGTCCCTCTACAGGAGGGATGTCCAAAAATAGTCGAAAAATAGTCTGGGGGCGATTTTTCTACTATTTTTGACCATTTGGGGGTAGCTTTCTATTGTTTTTAATTTTTAAGTTTTATCTGTATTCGACTATCTTTACTGCACGTTGCGACTATTTTTAATTCTTCATCGACTACTTTATACTGTATTTTTATTTTCAATGTTCGATTAACTTTTATTGTTATGCTGAACTTTTCGACTTTTTTTGAATTTTTCGTCGACGCTCGGCCCGCAGAGGGACGGGCCCGACGTAAGGCTCGCCCCGCCCGCGCCGGCCTTGCAGGCTCCGCCGCCCCGGCGGGCACAGGCGCGCTTTGCCCTGCTCCCTCCTCCCTCCAGCCCTTGGTATTGGTATTCCTTTTGGAAGGGGCCCTGAGACACACAAATAGATACACACTTTTTTGGTCGGCGGGGCGAGAGCGAACCTCTTCCGCTAAAAGCTAGGCGGGCTACGCACAGCTTTGATGAGGGAGACAGGGCACAGGCGGGCGGGGCCTCAGGCGGCCGGGGTGGGCGGGGCCCGGGGTGCAGGCGGTGCCGAAAAGCTTGCACAGGAAAAGGTACGCCGCGGACAGGGGCCGGAGGCGAAGATCCGGAGGGTAAGGCAAATACATACACAAATAGCAGGAATACCTATATTTTTCTAACATGTTCAGGGTGTTTGTCTTCCCCCCCACTTCCCATATGTTCCCATACTTTCTGGGGAATCGACGGTTGATTGTGTCTGTGTGTTTGTTGTCCCCCTGACTTTTGCGTCGACCAGGGGAGCCTGCGGCCCCCGCGAAGAGGGGGGGCGCGCCCAGCATGCCTGGGGCGCGCGCGGGACTACACACCACAGGGTTGACCCCTCGAGGCTGTTCCCGACCGGCCTCTCCTCCCTCCTTCCCAGACCAGCCACGCCTGGAGGAATTGCGATCCTCACCCCCTGGGGGACCGATCGGTTCCGACATCCCCTTCGGGAGGTCGTCGAAGCATGATTTCCCGGTGGAGCGAGGAGATTTCGGAAATTGGGGCCCGAGCCCTTTAACCCTTCAGGATCGAGGACTGAGGCTTCAAGGATTGGGCACAGGACCTGAGGACCCCACTCCGTGCCCAGCGGTACGGTGGCGAGAGACCCTCGACGTGATGGTTTTCCCCAGCGGGGCACGGAACACAGCTTCCCTGGTCGTACTTAGCTGGTCGGCGTCCTCCTCTCCACCACCCAGGCCCCTGGGGTTGGGGCCACCCGCGACGAGGAGCGGTCGCGGCAGGCTGGCCGCTGCCCGTCTGCTTTCTTAGATCTGCTTGCCCCCACTGAAGGGTTCGGTAATCTCTTTCTCTCTTGCCACTCTTGCCATCTTTCTCCTCTGTATCTGTCTCTTTTGCCGCCCTCGTTCTTTCTGTCCCTTGTAGGTGGTGCTTTCTACGCCACCCTGCGCCGCAGCAACCTGCGCCGCCCCAGCAATGCGAGAACGCCACCTGCCACATCCGTCGTGCGGCGACGACCTCTCTGTGAGAGAGAGGGGCACGGAGAATCCGAGAGGTTCAAGGGCGGCCCCAGGGATCCGTGGATCTCTGCGGAGTGTCCCCGAGGTTTCCGCGGAGGTTCCTTGGGCTCGGTGGGAGGCCTCGTTCGGGGGGCTCCGTCCCCGAATACTTGAGTATGTCCGAGCAGGATTTTACGTCGGTGGCGATCACGCGGAGCTCCGTGCAGCAATCACAGCTTGCGGTGCGAGCGCGCGCGCGCGTGTGCCGCTCGGAGGGGAGGGGAGCTTTCCTTGCGCGGCATCGACCACGAACAACCTGCAAACAGTTCCAGGTGGAGACGTTCGTTTCTGACGCGCTGGCAGGAACGATTTTCCCCAATTAGGCTTGCCCGAGGGGTTCTTACTTGGTTAAAGGTTGGTGCCTCGGGAGGCTACTTTGCCTCTTCCTCGGAGGTTCCCCGGGTTCCTCAGGTTCTCCAGGTTCCTCAGGTTCCCCGGGTTCTCCGGGTTCCTCGGGTTCCCTGGGTTCCTCAGGTTCGCCGCCTCCGTTGCCCAGAGGTTCCACGGGTTCCTCAGATTCCCTGGCTTCCTCGGGTTCCTCGGGTCCCCCGGGTTCCTCGGGTTTCTTGGGTTTCTCGGGATCCCCGCCTCGGGTCCAAGCAATGCCAAACAATGCCAAACAATGCGAAGCAATGCCAATCAATGCGAAGCAATGCCAAGCAATGCCAAGCAATTCCAGGCAATGTCAAGAAGTGCCAGGCAATGCCAAGCAATGCCAAGCTCTGCGCCCATGCAATAGGAAGCTTGCAGCTTTCCCCTCATTTGGGTCGCGCTGGGATCATTTCCAACGCGAAGGGGGACCTACTCACATCTTTCGGAGGGTGATGCGCAGCTTTGCTTCGGGCTCTGAGGGCGCACTCCGCATACGACAAGTGGTGGCGACCCTCGACGCAGAACACATGAGAAACAGTCGCGTCCGTGATTGGCTCGAGCCGACAGGGGGCCTAGGCAGGGAGCGAGGCGGACGAGGAGGAGGAGGAGGGCGAGGTCCCGGAGGGGCCCCGTGGAGTCCCCTGGAGGCCCGTGGGGGCTTCCCGAGCCCAAAGAGGTTACAGAGGCGCTCGCGTAACACGTGCCCTCGATCGATGAGCGAACGGCGCACGAGCTCGGAGGAGAGGGAGGATGAGGGTGAGGAGGGGGCGTGGGAGGAGGAGGAGGCCCGCCGAGCCTCGGTCGATGCGGAGGCGGAGGAGGGAGGAAGGAGGGAGAGGAGGTCGAGGAGAGAGAGAGAGAGAGAGAGAGAGAGAGAGAAAAAAAAAAAAAGAAGGGGACGAGGAAACGAGCAACAAGAGAAGTCGTCGGTCGCGGGGCCGGCGGAGGAGGACAACGCAGGGAGGAGGGAGGCAGAGGAGGTCGAGGGGGTACGAGGAGAGGAGCCACCAAAAGGGCGCCCTCGATCGATGGGCCGGCGGAGGCGGGACGCGGGGAGCATCGCGGGAGGGAGGCCCCCCCGCAGGACCCGTGGGGCGGCGCGGCGGCGGCGCCGCGGAGGCGCGGCGGGTGCGGGGGCGAGAGAGAGAGGGGCACGATCTCGCTCCCTCCTCGCACAGTCAAGACCAGGGGCGCCGACAGGGGGGACCCCCTCCTCAGGGCTCATCTCGGCTCCTCCAACTTCGATCCGATGTCGATGGCTTCCGATTCCTCTTCGACCTGGTATTTCGATTAGGGTTCCAGTCTCGCACGGGACGCATACTGGCCTGCCGATTTCCGCCGATTCGACATCTCCCGACTCGGCTGCCGATTGCCCCCGATCTGATCCATCTCGATCGCCGATCCGACTTTCGATTCTGAGCTCTCCTGCCTCCTCCTCCTCCTCCTCCTCTTCCTCCTCCTCCTCCTCCTCCTCCTCCTCCTCCTCCTTTCCTGCTCCCGCTCTGCAGGGCCCCGTCGTGTCGGTCCGGAGCGCCAGCGCGTGGGGCGGGGGCCGGCCCAGGGGAAAGCGGCATCGGCACCCGATGTCGTTGATCGGGGGTGGACAGACCTCCTTACCCTGACACGTCGATGAGTGAATGGGCCGTTTTCGGTTCGCGAGAGGGCGTCACGGCCGTCATTTCTGCGGGTCCAGATCCGTCGGTTTCGGTTTTGGGCCATTTTCACTGAAGGGTGATTGACTGAAGGGAGGTTTGTCCACCGCCGAGAGGGGGGGGAGGAGGAGGAGGGGGAGGAGGAGGAGGAGGAGGAGGAGGAGGGGAAGGAGGAGGAGGAGGAGCAGGAGGAGGAGGAGGAGGAGGAGGAGGAGGAGGAGGAGGAGGGAGGTCTGTCCACCGCCGAGTGGAGCCTTGGCCGATCGGGGCGGCCCGGGTGCCCCAGCCACCGCCCAGGAGCAGCGGCTTTCGCCATCGGGGGGGGCCTTTCTCGCGGATCCCTCGGCGACGGACCGCCAATACCAGGTCCTTGTCTGTTCCAAGGCCCCCTCGCGCTTTCCTAGGGGCTCCAACTTCTAGGTAAGGTCGCACTGGGGCAATGTTTTTCATTTTTCGTCGAGAATCCCCCTCTAGGGGGACACGCCCGACATAAGTCTTGGCCGATCGGGGCGGCCTGGGTGTCCCAACCACCGCCCAGGAGAGGCGGCTTTCGCCATCGGGGGGGGGGCCTTTCTCGTGGATCTCTCGGCGACGGACCGCCAATGGTTTCTAGGCCCCCCCCCCCAGGCGGCGGGCCAGCCACCTGGGGGTCGACCTCGCCCGCGGGAGACGCCAGGCCAGAGCCGCGCGGGCCGGCCGAGAGGCCCAGCGCCGCACCGCGCGCGGGAACATCTGCAGGCACGCATGTGTTCCTCAGAAGCATCGTTACACAGGTCGTCTGGAGAAGCAAAACGCCCGAGCTGCAGGCGCGCACGGTCACCGAATGCACGGCACGTCCGGGGCCAAGCTGACCTTGTTTGTTCCAAGGCCCCCTCGCGCTGCGAACAGAATCACGACGGGAAGCCGTTCGCTGTGTTCGGCCTCCGGGGACCCTTGCCAGGCCTCGGGGCCGCCGAAGAGCGACTCCGGAGGAAGCACAGGGCCCGGGGAAAAGGGGCCCAGACCTCTGGGGGCCGACGCTGCTGGAACAAAAAACACACACAGACACCAGGAAGCGTCGATGCCCCAGATCTGGAAGGTGGGGAGGGGAGGAAAGTGGGGAGGGGAGACAAAGACCCGGAGAACAGGGGAAACTATGGTCAGGAGCGAAAGAAGGACGCACATGTACATGAATCCACGCTGGTTTCGAGAGCACGCATTGCACAAATGTTCGTATAACGCGGCCGGTCTCGCGAATCGAGGGGCCGTGTTCATGTACATAGCTGGGCGCGTACGTCCTTTGTGGGCTCCCTATATGGGTCCTCCTGTTATCTGTGTCGTTGACGGCGACACCACTTCGCTCTCCCTCCGGGACTTCGCCTCCTGCTCCTGTCCAGGGCGTACCTTTTCCTGTGCAAGCTCTTCGGCACCGCCTGCACCCCGCGCCCTCCGGCCGCCTGAGGCCCCGCCCGCCCGCGCCCCCCAATTAGTGTTTTGCGCGCCCCGCCTAGCTCTTAACCGGAAGAGGCCCGCTCTCGACCCGCAGACCAACAAAAACATGTTATCTGTGTCGATCTATGGGCGTGTCCCAGGGCCCCTTTCACAGATCACGACGGCGGGGGTCTGGGCTTCGCCCGCCCTCCCCTTCCGTCCGGTTGCAGCCCGGGCGCTGGCGTGGCGGCCACGCGTCGGGCTCGGAAAAGGGGGCCCAGGCTCCCAGGCCTCCTCCTCCTCCTCCTCCTCTTCCTCCTCCTCCTCCTCCTCCTCCTCCTCCTCGCTCATCCTACTCCTCCTCCTCATCCTCCTCCTCCTCCTCCTCCTCCTCCTTCCCTCTTCTTCCTCCTCCTCCTCCTCGCTCACTCCTCCTCCTCCTCCATTCTCCTCCTCCTCCTCCTCCTCCTCCTCCTCCCTCCTCCTTCCATAGTCCAGCAGGGCTGGGAGTTCCTCTGATCTCCGAGAGCGTGTTCTACCGCTGCTGGCGGAACACCGGGGGGGTCACTACCGGTTCGAGCCCATCCCCCCCCCCCCTCAGGAAAACCGGGGGGGTCACTACCGGTTCGAACCCCTTCCCCCCCCCCTCAGCTCATCATGAAAAGGGGGGGGGTCACTACCGGTTCGAACCCCCCCCCCCCCTCGAAAACCGAGTGGGGGTGCGGACAGTGGTGGGGACGGTGTTGGTGGGGACAGTGGTGAGGGGACAGCGGGACAGTGGTGGGGACAGTGGGACAGTGGGACAGTGGTGGGGACGGTAGTGGTGGGGACAGTGGTGGGGACAATGGTGGGAACAGGGGGGACAGTGGACAGTGGTGGGGACGGTGGTGGTGGGGACAGTGGTGTGGGGACAGTGGGAATGAGGTGGAAACAGTGGGACAGTGGAGGGTACAATGGTGGTGGGGACAGTGGTGAAGGCGGTGGCGAGGACGGCGGTGGGACAATGGGACAGAGGTACAGTGGGGACAGTGGTGGGGACAGTGGGGACAGTGGTGGGGACAGTGGGACAGCTCAGTGGGACAGCGGAGGAGTCAGTGGGACAGTGGGGACAGTGGGGATAGGCAGTGGTTGGGTCCGTGGAGACAGTGGGAGAGTGGAACCGTGGTGGGAACAGTTGTGGGAACAGTGGGGACAGTGCGACAGTGGTGGGGGCACTGGTGGGGACAATAGGGACGGTGGTGGAACCAGTGGGGGCAGTGGTGGTGAGGACAGTGGTGCTGGGAACAACAGTGGGGGATGTGATGCGAGCGGTGGTAGGGACCGGGAGTCGTTTGCTGGCGGTGCGTGGGGGTGGGGGGGGGGTCGAACCGGTAGTGACCCCCCTCCGGTTTTCGAGGGGGGGGTGTTTCCCACCTTAGTGACACCCCCCCGTTTTTCCGGATCCGGGGGGGGGGGGGGGGTGGGGGGGGGGGAGGGTTCGAACCGTTAGTGCACCCCACCCCGGTTTTCGAGGGGGAGGGGGTATGGAGGGGTTTAGCCTGGAGGGATGGGTGGTGGGGGTGGGGTGGGGGGGAGTGTTTCCAGAGGGGTGGGGGGGGGGGGATTTCTCGAGGGGGGGGGGAGACACCCGGGCTCCGGAGGAAAAGGTTGGCAATTTTCCACAGTAAAGCGGCGGTGGATCACGCTCTCTCTGATCTCCCCAGAGCCCCCTCGAGCCAGGAAGAAAACTCACGGCGGGAGGTGTCTGTGTGTCCGAATGTTCGGCCTCCTGGGGCCCTCGCCGGGCCTCGGGAGCGTCAAGACGCGACTCAGGATGCAGAGCCGGTCACGGGGAAAGGGTCGGGACCTCTGGGGTTATGATGTTCCAACCTACTTGAGCCTGGATCACCAGGCAGAATGTCGAGCGCCCAAAAAAGTAACTACCGAAACTCGAGGGCTTTCACGCGTCGGGCCCTGGGAGACACTCGCCCGACACTGTTTCGACACTCTTTTGACACTTTTCCGGGTGCTCCAAATTATTTCTGGGATGCGGTCCTTCAGTGGGATGGGAACCACATGAGCCGAAACGGTGTTTTGGCGTTTTCGTGGGCCGTTTTCGGTTCGACTTCGTTTTGCGGTAAAGGCGGAATGAAGACAAAACAAGGGAAAACGGAAACACAACGAGAACGAGAAACACCGTTTAGGTTCAGCCTTGGTGTCCAGCGTCCTTTGGGAGTGATTCGAGCACTGGCGAAGCGTCCCGGCTTTTCCTGTGGGCCCACCAGAACATGTTCTGAGAACCTTCTGTGGTTTGCACGGACCTGTTCTTAGAACATGTCTGGCTGTGATTGCCTTGTTGTCGGGTCTATGTTCTAAGCGTTTCTGTTCTTAGAACTATTTCGGGAGTCGAAGAAGGTAGGCCTAACGGATTTCCGGGACGGTCGGTCCTTGCTCAGAGGATGGCAGCACGATGCTTGCGGGGCAGTTGTCTGGGCACTTCCAGCCCAGCGCCGTTGCAACCATTCTTTTGCTCTCGGGATGTCCAGGCCTTCACCGTGGGGCTCGGGCAGACGGGGTCAGAGGATCGCGAGGTACCGCCGATGCTTGCGCGGTGCATGCCAGTCTGGAGCCCGCTCGCCTCCATCCCGCCGCGTCCGATGCAGCGCCAACGCGTCTTCGATGCGGGGCGATCCGCTGACCCGAGCTGCTCTGGCCCGACCTGGGAGGCCTCCGGGGTGTGCGCCTGGCCTCTCCGTCGGACCGAAACCCTCAACAGCGAGGGCGGAATGAAGTGCTCCATCAAGGCTTATCCTGCGGTTGATTCCACATGTCGTCGCGCGGTCTGTGCCGACGCGCGGCCGTGCGTCTCGGGGAGGGCGCCTCGGCCATTTGGGCGAACTCCGCCTTGGAAGCAAGGCCAACTCGCCGTGGGCTTCGCCGCGGCGCCAACTTTCCAGCGGAACTCACCGGCGTGTACACCGTGTTCTCTTACATCTTCGTGTTCGGCAGTGCGCGAATGCAAATAATTCCCTCCCCCTCCCCCCCTCCTTCCCAAATCTATCCTCCCCTTCCCCATCCTTCCTCTCCTCTCGCCATCTCCCACTCCCCCATTCCCTCTCTTCCGTTCCCCCACCTCCATGTCCCCATCCATCGCTCCCCCACCTTCCGGGCCACCTTCCGAGCCGCTGCGGGGGGCGGCGGCGGGGGAGGGGGACAGCAGAGGAGGAGGAGGAGGAGGAGGAGGAGGAGGAGGAGGAGGAGGAGGAGGAGGGGAGGAGGAGGAGGAGGAGGAGGAGGAGGAGGAGGAGGAGGAGGAGGAGGAGGCGCGCACGATCAACACGCTGGGCCGCCGTCGTTCCCGCCGCTCCCCTTTTCGACCCAGCTCCATGGCGCAGCGCAGCCTTCTTCTGCGCACGAGCAGTCGCTGCTTCCCTCGCAGTCGCCGCCGCGAGCGCGGGTGCGCTCGCGCGAGGCGTCGTCGTCGTCGTCGTCGTCGTCGTCGTCGTCGCCGCTGCCGCCGCCGCCGCCGTTCATCGCCGCCCTCGTCGCCCCTTCCCCCATCCCGCCGCCTCATCGCGTCCCTCCCCCCCCCGCCGCTTGCACGCACGGTGCGCGCAGCCTCTCGTCCCCGGCGCGCTGGCGCCTGCGAGAGCGGTCTGTTTCACCTCGAGGCAAGCGCTCACGGAGCCCGGCCTGCGACCGAGGAGCCCCCTTTCTGTGCTCCTGCCTGCCCCTCTGCGTGGCCGCTCGCTGCCTGCGGCGGGCTCGGGCGGCGTCGCGGCGCGCCCGCGACGCCGGCACGTGGCGCCGCCTGGGGGCTCGCTGCGGGCCCCAGGGCAAAAAGAAAACTGCCCGCGGCGCGAAATCCGTGCGAGAGGTTGCGTCGACAGCCTCTGGGGCCCTTCGAGGACGGAGATCCTTCGCGACTGAACGGTTCACGCGGCTCGAGAGGCGTACACACGGTGCGCACAGATATACAGACCACAGGTTCGCGGCGACCGGCTGCGCGACGCCAGTTGCGACCAGCTACGCGACGCCAGTTGCAGTGCTCGTAGGCAGCGGCGATGGCGCCATGGCGATCGTGCCGAGGCCAACACTGGGCGCCGTCGTCGGCACCGGCGCCAAGTCGGCCCACGACGACGGCGGCGATGGCGACGAGTCAGAGCGTGGCGGCGGCGGCGGCGTGGGGGTGGCGATGGCCGCGGTGCCGGCGCGGCCGCCGTGGAAGCGCCGGCAGCGGCGGTCGGCCCCCTCGATCGGTCAGAAGAGTGCTGGCCCCCGCCCACACCCGCGCAGCTCTGGCAGCGTGGCGCCCAGCCCCGTCGCCGACGCCAGCGGCAGCTGGACCGCGAGGGGGGGACGCAAGCGGGGTCGCGCGCGGTCGTGCGTCGGGGAAGACGCAGTGACATACGACATAGGGTTGTGGAGGTCGATTAATGGAGAGGAGGCATGCTGCCACATAGTTCCCAGATGTCTAAAACATGTTTCAAGCATGTTTTGAATATGTTAAAGCATGTTTTATACATTTACCGGACATGTTCCCGACATTTTAAACACATCTTTTAATTCGATGATAGGACTGTTAGGGTGTCCATTCTCGTGGCGTTCACAAACATAGGTAAACATAAACTTTGGGAGGTCCGCGCGGATTTTCTGACTCGCGCTGGAGCCCCTTGCCGGCGCCTCCGGCGCCGCCCCTGGCGCGCCTGGTGCGCCAGGGAGGGGGGTCCAACGCCGATCTAAGAAATCCGCGCGGACCTCCAAAAGTGTATCGAAGACGCCTACGGCGAATCACCGCCGCCCTCTGCCTTTTAGAATCGCCCATGTAGCCGAGCGTTGTGGCGAGAGCTCGAGGTGAGTGGCGTCCACAGCAGCCAAGATAAGATTCGGGCGTTGTGCCGGGGCACAGCCATCCATTGCGCTCCGCATCCGAGTCGAGCGCAAACCCGTCACACGGGACAGACCAGGTCCCTCCCCCCCTCGACCACTCGGACACTGGCGAACATCTTCGCCGATCGCTGGGAAGAACAGCTCAGCGACCCCGAAGCGCGCCCAGGGCAGCTCGAGCAATGCGGCACGCGGCCGCGATGCTGTCGTGACCGACCCGGCCGAGATCAGGCAGCAATGGGGGGGGTCCGAGAGGCGTGCCGTGAGATGCCAAGGGCGCCTGCGGCGCCCCCACGCCGAAGTGGCTTCTGCACATGGCTTTCGGCGCCGTGGCCGCGTTCCCCCGCGCGGGTGCTTCGGAGAGCAGCTCCCGGCTTAAGATCAAGTCGGGCCTGCCCCCTTGCAGGGGGATTTCGGGCGAAAAGTGAGAGATACCTCCAACATGCCAAGAAAAGGCCAAAACATATTGGGAACATAGTCCCCAGACAATTGTTTCATTATTGTTTGAGTATTTCGGGGGTATCTTGTATTTTTCGTCGAAAATCCCCCTGTAGGGGGACAGGCCCGACGTAAGCTTAAGAATGCCCAGCAGCAGCTCCATGGGAGTCACCACCTTGTAACACACAGGCTGCGTGGCGCCCTAGGCCCTCGCGAGGAGCTCCGCTGAGAATGTGGAAGTCGATTAATGGGGAGAGGAAGCGTGCTGCCAAATAATTTCCAGATGTCTAGAAGGTGTGTCAACCATGTTTCAAATATGTAGACGCGTGTTTGAAACATGTTTAGAACATGTTTTACGCATTAAAAACACATCTTTAATTCAATGGTAGGACAAGTAGAGTGTCCATTGTCATGGCATCCACAATGCTAAGATTCCTACTGGGCCAACTTGCTTTCAGCCGGAGATGGCCGGGGGGGCGGTGGGACGGGGCCACCTCCCACCCGCCTAAGGGTCGAGGAAGCGTGCGACTCGATGAAGCCAGAACTCGGATCTGCCGAAGTTGTTTGACGAGCGAGTCCTGGATTTTGACGGTCCCGTTTTCGTGGGATGTTTGCACTGGGAGTTCGTGTCAAATTTCAGATCGGCGTTCGTCGTTTTCATGATGGCCCCGTCAGGCCAACCCGAGTCCCCCGTACCCGAGTATGTCGTCTTCCCGATGACGGTCCCGCCGCCTCTCGTGGACGAGCCAGGTCACACCGGAGAAGGAAGGATGTGGCATCTCGAGTCCTCTCACGCCAGCGGTGGGCCGCCACTGGTGTAAAGAGCGGCCAGAGGCTTGGGGTGTCTGGGCCCCAACACCATGGCCGCTCCACGGCCGCCGATCAATGGCCGAGGCCTCGCGCGACGCGCCCGACAGCGGCCGCGGCGTCGCGGGACTCACCTCGGATCGGACCGGGGAGCTGGCGCCGCGTCGCCGCCAGGTAGGAGGACCGGGGCTGGGAGGCGCACGTGGAGGCTTCCGGGCAGCTCGGGCGCGAAGTGTACAGCCGGACCGAGGTATAAGATCGAGGTCGGGGAGGGTACCCCGATGTTCCTCGTGCTTGTTGACTGTTCATGTGCATCCTGGGGGAGGGTACCCTCGAATGTTCTTCAGTTTGGCTGGTGGAGGGTCTCGTCTATTCTTGAGGAATATTCTTCTGTCCTAGGTCCAGCCGTAAGAACAGTGTTCCCCCCCCCCCCCCCAGGCGTAGGCCGCCCGGTGTAGGGGAGGGGGGGGGGGCGAAGGCTGCGTCCGACCATAGGCGCCGAAGCCTACAGCAGCAACGAGGGGAGCCGGAGGAACACGAAGACATTGCGAATGTCGAGGAGGAGGAGGAAGAGGAGGAGGAGGAGGCCGGTCGGTCAGTCGGTCGGTCGGTCGGTGGCGGACCACGAATGGACCTGTCGTATGGGGGTGGGAGCATTTATGTTTTCCTGCGGCCCGAATGAAAATGAGGAGGAGGAATCGAGGAGAGGAGGATAAAACAGGGCTAGGATCGGGATAAATCGCTCCAGAGCGTTCCGGAGCGCTCTCAGAGCGTTCCGGAACGCTCTGGAGCGGCCGCGGCGCCCAATACATCCTCCAAACCCGCCGATTCTCAGAGATTTCGAGTTATCCCGATCCGATGTTGTCCCGATCCTCGCGTCGTTCTAGAGGAGGAGGGGGAGAAGAGAAGGGAGAGAGTGAGAAGAATATGGGAATCGATGAAAGGAGGAGGAGGAGGAGGAGGAGGAGGGATCAGGCTATGGAGGAGGAGGAGGAGGAGAAGGACAGTTCCACTTCCTCTTCCGCCGCGGAGGACGAGTAAGAAGACGACGAAGATGACGAAAACGCCATCATCGCCGCCGAACAGAAAAGACGGAAACGCCCCCTCGCTGGGGCTCTGACGAACCAGCGACGCCATTACGCCAGGAAGGAGCTGGCGGCGGAGCTCGACGCCATGCCCGAGCACCAGGCGCTCCACAGGGCCGTGGCCGAGACCGTTCGCGCCCCAGACGGCGACGGCGGCGACGGCGACGGCGGCGACGACGACGGCGGATGACGACGACGACGGCGGATGGCGACGACGACGACGACGACGACGACGACGACGACGACGACGACGACGACGACGACGACGACGGCGGCGGCGGCGACGGCGGCGGCGGCGGCGGCGGCGAAGACGACGACGGCGACGACGACGACGATGACGATGATCGAGGATCGAGGGTCGGCTACGCGGAAGAGTGAGCCTACGTTGGACTGACCTCGAGTGCGGGCCCATGGGTGTCCCCCCAGCGCTGGCCTGCGCGTATGGACTTGACCTGCCCGCGGCCCCCTAGGCTTGAGTCGGGCCTGTCCCTCTACAGGAGGAATATTCAAAAATAATATTAAAAATCAGTCTGGGCATTACTGTTTTAGTATGTGTTGACAAGTTTGATGTAATTTTGGGACATTTTTGGAGTTTTCGCCCAAGATCCCCCTGTAGGGGGACAGGCCCGACTTAACCCGAGGCCCGCGCATCACAGTCATTCTTGCCTGGGGTCGCACACACGTCAAGCCGACGAGTCCAGGCCCAAGAAAGCAGAACTCTGCAGACCAGGACTTTGCCAGATCCAGCGGGAGAACGCAAATACACCCATCAAGCATCTCAAGAACAGCGCGTCAGCTTCGATGGGCTCCAGATCTCATGCAAGAAATTCAAGAACCTGGACTGGGCCCTGGACGTATTCTTGGAGCTTTTTGGATCGTAGAGCTGTCGTGTCCCTGGGCGTGGTCTGCTGCTGTTGAGAAAACGCTTGGAGGGAAATCGCAGGCCCAGATATTGACACCAACACCAAGATCGGCGGTGTGCCTCTGCCGAGGGAAGACGATCCCGATCTCGGTGATGGTGGTAATGATTATGGCTTCCAGGGTGGCCGAATGATTGCCACCAGCACCGGAATCCAGGATCGTCTTCCCCCTGTGGAGGCACCCCCCCGTGTTGGTGTTGGTGCCTCCAATGTCCCTGGGCGTGGGCTGCTGCTGTTGAGAACACGCCTGGAGGGAAAGGCCACCCTCTCAGCGTCAGCGTCTCGTGCCTCTGCGCGGGGGTGCCGCGGAGACTGCCCCGGCCCGCGGCCGCGGCCCTCCCGGCAGCCGCCGGCGCCCCGGCCTCTGGCAGGGCTCCCCGTGCACGGGGCCCTGGCTGCGGGTCGAGGGCCGCAGACGCTGTCTTGGGCGCGCATCTGCAAAAAAAACTGACAAAAACAACTCCAAACTTTTGTGTTCAGTATTGTTGCTGGCACAAAACAAAACAGTCAAAAACATGTGAAGCAGAACCCTCCACAATCTCCAGGGACCGCTCCGTGCTGCGTGTCAGCTTTCGCTTCGGCAGGGTTGAGGGCCGAGGATCAGGTTTGCTGGACGTCTGAGGGAGGAGGGTCCGAGGGGGGAGGGGAGGAGGGGTAATTGTTGACGCTTCGCGGATCCCCACTGGCCCATCCAGAAACAGATGGCCAGGCGAGTTGCTTTGATCAGGGAAGTGTAGACGCATGCAGTGTAACAACCGTTTTGGAAGTGCTTTCTCGGAGGTCTCTTGCAGCCATCTTGGGTCTCTCGTGGGGTCCTAGCGGAGCCACTTGGGGCACTCTTGGTGCCCTCTTGGGGCATCTTGGGGTCCAGGTGCCCTGCTAAAGCCTTTCGGGAGGGTCTGGGAGGCCTCTTGGGGCCACCCTGGCTCCCAGGGCTCAAAAAGAGAGGGGTAAAGGATTCAGGCCCCCCCCTCGGAGGCTCACAAATGTCGTCTTGAGTCCCTCTGGAGCCGTTCTTGGAGCGCTCTTGAGCGCTCTTGGGGCCGTCTTGGAGCCCTCTTAAGTCCCTCTTGGGGCATCTTGCGGCCATTTTGGAGCCTCCGAGGCCCATTGGAAGCGATAAGGCGAGAAAGCAACAATCATAAACGTTCCTTTGGTTTGGGAGCCATTTTGGCCTCTTGGAGGGTCCTTGGAGGGCTCGGGGGGCACTTGAAACCATCTCGGGGCCGTCTTGAGGCCTCTTGAATGTGCGTCGGCGGCTATCTTGAGCCATCGTGGGAGCCATCTTGGAGGCCATCTTGGGGTCTCTTAGGCGCTCCTGGAGCCATCTTGTGGGCGATCTTAGGGGATATAACGCCTCGCGCCCCTCCCCTCTCCCGGGCCCACGGGAGGGGGTAGGGGGGAGGGGTCGAGCTGCCCGCCCGCCCGCAAGCCGTCTAGCTCACTCCCCCCGCCCTCCCAGCACATAAGTAACACCCGGGCCTGAGCATGCTCAGCGGTCGCCTTTGGATGGGCAGCTACTGGGAACCACGGCCGACCCCAGGTGCGCGACGCTTGGGCGAGGTGCGCCACGAGTGCCAGGGGCGCCACGCGCGCCAGGCACCCCTGGGGCCCGAGCGTGCCAGGCACGCCTGGTGCGCCAGATGCGCCACGAGCTCCGATTGCGCCAGGTGTGCCGCACACTGCAGCCGCGCCAGGTGCGTTTCGTTAGGGGCACGCGCAGAGTGTGTCAGGTGCGCCTGCACATGTGACAGCACACCGGGAAACATGTCGACCCCGGGCATGTTTGTCGAAAACTAATGCCCAACATTGTGTTTGGCGGGCCTGCCTGCGCACAGCAGGCCACGCGACACCACCCCCGCCGTCCCTGTTAACAACCACTTGACAGTGATCGCGAGATGGCCGCGCATGATCCAGATTTAGCCGCGAGGTGCATGCTGTATTGCTTTTCGACAGGATGGTAGCCCTGCGCGCAGCAGGCAACATGCTGATACCCCCGCCGTCCCGGTCAAGAACAATACAGAGTGCTCGTGGGCCTCACGAACATAATTCAAGATTTTGTCCCAAAGTGTACTTTGCATTGTTTTTGACAGGGATGGTGGGGGGGGCCGCATCGGTTTGGCCGCGCATGCTCCAAATGTGGAGGCAGAGTGCGGTTTGTATTGTTTTTTGAAGGATTGTTGGGGGCGGTCCCGCATGTAGTCGGCATGGTTCCGGGTTGGCCGCCGGCCGGATGGGGGAGGGGGTGTATATTAAAGAGGAACAGTGGTCAAGACATTTTCTTAGATAGCAAACCGTCTAGCACACTCCCACCCGCCCCAACACATATGTAACACCAGAGCCTCAGCATGTTCAGCGATCGTCGTCGGGATGGACAGCTGCTGGGAATCAAAACCGACCCCATGTGCACGACGCTGGGGGGGCGACGTGCGCCACGAGTGCCAGATGCGCCACGTGCTCCAGGTGCGCCAGGTGTGCCGCATACTCCAGCCACGCCAGGTGCGCCACGTTCGGGACACGTGCAAAGTGTGTTAGGCGCGCCTGCGCACGCGACAGCACACATCGGGAAACATGTCGGCCACCACCATCCTCGTCGAAAACCAATGCCCATCATCATCATCATCATCATCATCATCATCATCATCATCATCATCATCATCATCATCATCATTGTGTCTGGTGGGCCTGCGCACAGCAGGCCCCGCGACACCACCACTGCCGTGCCTGTCATAAACCACTTTGCAGTGATCGCGGGATGGCTGCGCATGATCCAGATTTAGCCGCGACGTGCATCGTGTATTGTTTTTCGACAGGATGGTGGCCCTGCGCACAGCAGGCGATATGCTGACACCCCCGCCGCCCCTATCAAAAACCATACAAACTGCTCGCCGGCCTGAGGACCATGACTCAAGACTTTGTCCCAAAGTGTATGTTGAATTGTTTTTTGAAAGGGATGGTGGGGTAGGGGGGCCGCATCGGGTTGGTTTGACAGGGATGGTTGGGGTGTGTGATCATAGGTTCTGCAATTTTCTTGGTTGGCTGCCTGTCGCCTGAGAGAGGAGGTGTATGTTTAATTGGGAATAGTGATCAACCCCTCCCCCGAGCAGGGGGAGTAGGGATATTGGCCGAGAGAAGACAAACTCGCTAAGGCACCTACGCCCAGACCAGAGGGATGGCGGGACTAATCCAGCTGCCGTCTGCAATTTCGCCACCTTGCCTGCACAGCATTTTGGGTGGCAGCTACTCGAGAAAGCAAGGGGGCCTGCTGGGGGCCTCTTGGGGCAGAAGTATCAAATGCTTGGTTCGTGTTCCCACTCTTGGGCCCTTCTTGGGGCTCTCTTGTGCAGTCTTGGGCCGTCTTGGAGCCCTCTTGGCCGTCTTGCAGCTCTCTTGTGGGCCTTTTGAGGGGAGTCTGGTGGGATTCCATATCACACGATACAACGAGCCCGCCGCAAGCGCCGAATTTTCCGTCAAAGTAAGTGGGTGGGTCGCGGGTGGGTCGCGGGTGGGTCGCGGGGTGGCTCGCGGGTGGGTTGCGGGTGGGTCGCGGGTTAGTCGCGGGTAATTCGCGGGCCGGGTCGCGGGAGGGACGACAACAAACAACAACAACAACAACAATAACAACAACAACAACAACAACAACAATTACTAGCACGTGGGGACACACCGTTCTCACCAGTGCCAGGGTTTTCATAGGAGGCGGGCAATACCCCCTCTTTGTGGGGGGGCCGGTTCAAGCTCTACCAAATTTCCAAACGACTCTTCGCCACCACCCACACCCAGCTTCCCGCCCTATGACGTTCGGACACTTCACTTCGTGGCATGCGGACGACCGTGGCTACTATTCAGGGCCCCGCGGCCGACGACGACGGCGTGCGCGCGCGAAGAAAAAACGAATGTGTCCCGCATGGTATTATTTGACAGGGATGATGGCCCTGGCAGGTGCGCAACCGTTGTTGCAGAAGTTCGAAAAAGTTGCTCGCAAAAGCCCGTTTGACAGAAATGATTAAAAAAGTGTTGGGTTTCCTACGAATCCGCAAGAGCGCGCGGGATGAAATTTTGACATTTTTTTTGAAAAACCATTGGTTTTTTGATGTTTTTATGTTAAAATCGCTACGAAAACTAAGGTTTTGGAAGGATTTCGTCTTGCGCGCGCGAATGTCCACTTTACCTTATTTTTTGCAAGGGATTCTTGAAGTTTGGTTATGTT